GTTTGTCTAACCTGATCTTAAAAACCTCCAATTACAGATTCCACAAACTCCTTAGGCACTTTGATCCAGTGTTTAACTACCCTGACTGTTAGGAAGTTTTTTCCTAATGTTCAACCTAAACCACCTTAGCTGCAATTTAAGCCCATTACTTCTTATCCTATCCTCAAAGGTTAAAGAGAACAATTCTTTACCCTCCTCGTAACAACCTTTGATGTACTTGAAAACTGTTATGTTCCCCCTCAGTCTTCTCTTCTCCAAACTAAACAAACACAATTTTTTCAATCTTCCCTCATAGGTCATGTTTTCTAGACCTTTAATAATTTTTGTTGCTCTTCTCTGGACTTTCTCCAATTTGTCCAAATCTTTCCTGAAATGTGTCGCCTAGAACTGGACACAATACTCCAGCTGGGACCTTATCAGTGTGGAGTAGAGTGGAAGAATTACTTCTCATGTCTTGCTTACAACACTCCTGCTAATACCTCCCAGAAGGACGTTTGGTTTTTTTGTGGGGTTTTTTTTTTTTTTTGCAACATTGTGACACTGACTCATATTTAGCTTGTGATCCACTAGAACCCCCAGATCCCTTTCTGCAGTACTCTGTCTTAGGCAGTCATTTACCATTCTGCGTGTGCGCAACTGATTGTTCCTTCTTAAGTATAGTACTTTATATTTGTCATTGAATTTCATTCTGTTTACTTCAGATAATTTCTTCAGTTGTCCAGATCATTTTGAATTTTAATCCTATCCTCCAAAGCGCTTGCAACCCCTCCCAGGTTGGTATAATCCGCAAACCTTGTAAGTGTACTCTCCATGCCAGAGGTGGGCAAATTACAGTATACGGGCCACATCCAGCCCACCAGGCGATTTAATCCAGCCCTCGAGCTCCTGCTGGGGAGTGGGGTCTGGGACTTGCCCCACTCCTGCACTCCAGCTGAGGAGCGGGGTTGGGGGCTGCTCCACACACATGTGCCATGCCCCCGGAAGCAGCAGCATGTCTCCCTTCCAGCTCCTACATGAAGGGGCACCCTGGGGGCTCTGCATGCTGCCAATGGGAGCTGCAGGGCTGGCGCCTGTGGATGGTGGACATGCTGCTGTTTTTGGTTGCTGCTTGAGGTAAGCACTGCCCAGAGCCTGCACCCTTGAGCCCCTCCACAACCCCCTGCCCAAGCCCTGATCCCCCTCCCACCCTCCAAACCCCTCAGTCCCAGCCTGGAGCACCCTCTTACATCCCAAACCCCTCATCCCCAGAGCCTGCACCCCCAGATGCCCTCACACACCCCCATGCCCCAACCCCCTGCCTCAGCCCTGATCCCCCTCCTGCCCTCCAAACCCCTTGGTCTCAGCCTGGAGCACCCTCCTGCACCCCAAACCCATCATCTGCAGCCCCATCCCAGAGCCCACACCGCCATCCGGAGCCCTCATCACCCCCTCCACCCTAACCCCCTGACTCAGCCCAGAGCCCCCTCCCACACCCTAAGCTTCTCATTTCTGGCTGCACCCCCAGTCAGAGCCCTCACCCCCTCCTGCATCCCAACCCCAATTTCGTGAACATTCATGGCTTGTGTCAAGGTTCTTTCCCCACTTTGAACTCTTGGGTACAGATGTGGGGACCTGCATGAAAACCTCTTAAGCTTATTTTTACCAGCTTAGGTTAAAACTTCCCCAAGGTACAAACTATTTTACCTTTTGCCCTTGGACTTGCTTGGTGGTGGCAGCAATAATCTAACGAATATATAAAAGGGAAAGAGCCTGCTTGGAAACGTCTTTCCCCCCAAAATCCTCCCCAAACCCTAAACCCCCTTTCCTGGGGAAGGCTTGTTAAAAATCCTCACCAATTTGCATAGGTGACCACAGACCCAAACCCTTGGATGTTGAGAACAATGAAAAAAACAAAGAATTTTAATAGAAGAAAAGGTAAAAGAATCACCTCTGTAAAATCAGGATGGTAAATACCTTACAGGGTATTCAGATTCAAAACATAGAGAATCCCTCTAGGCAAAACCTTAAGTTACAAAAAGACACAAAAACAGGAATATCCATTCCATTCAGCACAGCTTATTTTATCAGCCATTTAAACAAAACAAAATCTAATACATATCTAGCTAGAAGAAAAGGAGTACTTGTGACACCTTAGAGACTAACCAATTTATTTGAGCATGAGCTTTCGTGAGCTACAGCTCACTTCATCGGATGCATACCGTGGAAACTGCAGAAGACATTATATACACACAGAGACCATGAAACAATACCTCCTCCCACCCCACTGTCCTGCTGGTAATAGCTTACTTACGATATGCATCCGATGAAGTGAGCTGTAGCTCACGAAAGCTCATGCTCAAATAAATTGGTTAGTCTCTAAGGTGCCACAAGTACTCCTTTTCTTTTTGCGAAGACAGACTAACACGGCTGTTACTCTGAAACATATCTAGCTAGATTACTTACTAAGTTCTAAGACTCCATTCCTGTTCTATTCCTGGCAAAAGCCTCACACACACAGAGAGAACCTTTGTTTCTCCCCCCTCCAGCTTTGAAAGTATCTTGTCTCCTCATTGGTCATTTTGGTCAGGTGCCAGCGAGGTTATCTTAGCTTCTTAACCCTTTACAGGTGAAAGGGTTTTTCCTCTGGCCAGGAGGGATTTTAAAGGTGTTTACCTTTCCCTTTATATTCATGACAGCCTGCCATACAATTTCCACACCCAGATGTGGCTGTTGGGCCAAAAAGTTTGCCCATCCCTGCTCTATGCCATTATCTAAACCATTGATGAAGATATTGAAGAGAACTGGACCAGGACTGATCCCTGCAGGACCCCACTTGATATGCCCTTCCAGCTTGACTGTGAACCTTTGATAACTACTCTCTGGGAATGGTTTTCCAACCAGTTATTCACCCACCTTATAGTAGCTCCAACTAGGCTATATTTCCCTAGTTTGTTTATGAATAAGTCATGCAAGACAGTATCAAAAGCAGTGGTGGGCAACCTGCGGCCTGCAGTTTGCAGTTCCTAGCCAATGGGAGCTGCGGGAAGCGGTGCGGGCCACAGGGACATACTGGCTGCCGCTTCCCGCAGCTACCATCGGCCGGGAACGGCGGGCGGCTATGCAAATGTAAACAAACTGTGTGGTGGCCCACCAGCAGATCAAAAGCATTACTAAAGTCAAGATATACCCCGTCTACCACTTCTCCCCTATCCACAAGGCTTGTTACCCTGTGAAAGAAAGGTAACAGGTTCGTTTGACCTGATTTGTTGTTGACAATTCCATGTTGACTGTTACTTATCACCTGATTATCTTCTAGGTGTTTACAAATTGATTGCTTGATTATTTGCTCCATTATCTTTCTGGCTACTGAACTTTAGCTGACTAGTCTAATTCCTCAGGCTCTCCTTATTCCTTTTTCTATAGATTGGCACTATATTTGCCATCTTCCAGGCCTCTGGAATTTCTACAATTTTCCATGTTCACTATGTTAGATGTCTGATCGCTAACCTTTCCGGTGAAAACTTAAACAAAGAAGGCATTTAGCTCATCTGCCGTTTCCACATTTTCTGTTACTATCTTTCCCCATTCATTGAGTAATGGGCTACTCTATCCTTGGTATTCCTCTTGATTCAAATGTATTTGCAGAATGTTTTCCTGTTACCCTTTATGTCTCTGGTTTATTTAATCTCATTTTGTGCTTTGGCCTTTTAAATTTGTCCCTATATGCTTGTGGGTTTATTTTTTTAATATTCATCCTTCGTAATTTGATCTAGTTTCCACCTTTTGTAGGACTCCTTTCCATTTTCAGATCATTGAAGATCTCTGGTTAAGACAGTGTGGTCTCTTGCCATACTTCCTATTTTTCCTATGAAGTAGAATAGTTTGCTCTTGGGCCCTTAATGTCTGTCTGAAAAACTGCCAGTTCTCTCAAACTGTTTTTCGCCTTAGACTTGCTTCCCATGGGATCTTCCCTACCAACTCCCTGAGTTTGCTAAAGTCTGCCTTCTTGAAATCCATTATCTTTATTCTGCTATTTTCTCTCCTACCATTCCTTAGAATCAGGAACTCTACCATTTCATGATCATGTTCACCCACGCTGCCTTCCACTTTCCAATTCTCAATCAGTTCCTTCCTATTTGTCAAAATTAAATCTAGAACCTTCTCTCCCCTAGGTGCTTTCTCCACCTTCTGAAATAAAAAAAAAATCTCCTATGCATTCCAAGAACTTGTTGGATAATCTGTGCCCTGCTGTACTATCTTCCCAACAGATGTTTGGGTAGCTGAAGTCCACTATCACCGCCAAGTCCTGTGCTTTGGATGATTTTGTTAGTTGTTTAAAACAACCTCATCTGTCTCTGGCGGAGAAAAGGAAAGATACCGGGAGGAGGGGGAATAAATGCCAAACATATTTCATTTCAGTTTGCACCACGGCTTTTTAAAAAGCCTTTTGATAGAAAAATTGAAACATTTTGTGAAGGTATTTTTGAACAAAGTAAAACCAGTTTTGTTTCCTTTAAAAACTTTCACTGAAAAGAATTGCCTTTTTTCACCAGCTCTACTATTGAACTTTAGTTCCATTCTAATATATTTCTCTCCTATACTGCCCAGCCCTGAGTCTGCTCAATATTCACACTTCAAATGCAGCTTAAAATTTGTGAAATGCCCCCAGGCTTACATCTGAGTGGTGCCAACACCTTCTCTGCTTATGCTTAAAACAAGGTGATCTATTATGTACTGGGACTACAATTTAAATAATTTTTCCCAGCTATTGAGGAGCAATAGATCTGCATGTAATGCACATGCTTTGATAATCTCTTCAAAAGTGCAGTCAGAGTGTTATTGTGAAGGCATTTATTTTGCACTATTTAGAAAGCAAAAATAATCTAGGCAGGCTGAAAATAAAATAAATTTTACAGAAACTAACAATACAGCTTTGCAACAGCATAAACAACATAGTAGAATAGTAACGCTAGTAGGAATTTTATGTTACAAAGGAAAAGCAAAGAGATAGTTTCACTTACCAGCAGTTGCCTGTGACAGCTCACCCAGCTCTCTTTACATCCTGAGCTAACGATGGAGACTGCCATATGACCTTTTACCCTGTCGCTCCTCTCTTTAACGGTCATGTTTGCCTGATTGGTTATTTTGAATAACTTGAATAAATACAAGCCATAACAAGCAGATTCCAAATCCCCTCAGTCAGTGTTTGTGACAGGAAAGCAAAATAAGTGAGCATTCAGTGCAAGGAAACTGACTCATCAACACTCCTTTGTGCATTAACCGCCAGACATTGTGTGACATTTTAAGCAAAGTATCCAATACATTAATGTGCAAATTAGCAAATACCCTAAACTTCATTTTAAAAAGCTTTACGGATAGAAACAGAGGTCAATGGAATGGGACAAAGGAAACAAAAGCATAGATCTGGGTAGAGGCAAAGTGTGTGAGTGTCATGTACCCTCCCCCCGATTTTACACCTTCCATTTAGCAACAGCTTCAGAGGTTTTCAAGCTGGGGTGCACTCCACTCAGGGGGCTTGGAGGAATGTTTTTTTCGGGGGGGCAGGGGAGGAGCAGTGATGTCAGGCGGCTCAGGTCAGTTCCACATGGTGGGGCTCAGGGAGGGAGCACCAGCTCCGCCCCCAACTCACCTCAGTGGGCTACCCAGCCTGTCTGGCTTGGGGGAACTTTCTGAGCTGAGCCCCACCCCCCACTTGGAGTTACAGTTTTTGGCTGAGTCGGGGGTGGAGGTGGTGCTCTCTCCCCGAGCCCTGTGGCATTGCCGCTTCCCCCCCCCCCCCCAAACATTCCTCTGTGCCCCTCTTGGGGCATGCCTCACAGTTTGAAAACCTCTGTTCTAGATTCAGAGGCAATGCCTGGGGTTGTCATGCCCCCCTGTCACGGAGTCCCTGGGTGATGCTCTGGAACTGCTCCCCATGAAGCCAGTCAGGACTCTGGGGCAGTCGCCTTTCTGTGAGCAGCCTGTCTTCAGGACACACAGCTCACTCAGCTTCCACCTTCCTGGGTCTGACCTCGGAGCATTCAGCATCCTCTGCCCCTCCGTGCGCTTCCCACAGCGAGTCCGCTCAGGCGGGGCTCCTGGGGAAGCCAGAGGGTCCTGCACCCCAACTTCGCAGTCAGACGTGACTCTCAGCCAGCCAGTAAAACAGAAGGTTTATTAGACGACAGGAACATGGTCTAAAACAGAGCTTGCAGGTGCAGAGAACGGGACCCCTCAGCTGGGTCCATTTTGGGGGGCAGTGAGCCAGACAACCACATCTGCACTTCACTCCATGTCCCAGCCAGCCCCAAACTGAAAACCCCCTCCAGCCCCTCCTCCTCTGGGCTTTGTCCCTTTCCCGGGCCAGGTGGTCACCTGATTCCTTTGTTCTCCAACCCTTCAGCTCTCACCTTGCAGGGGGGAAGGGCCCAGGCCATCAGTTGCCAGGAAACAGGGCGTTGGCCATTCTCTGTGTCCAGACTCCTGCACACACCTGCCCTCTAGGGCTCTGCAATGATCATACACCCTTACCCCACCCCCTAGATACTTAAGAACTGCCTAGGGGAAACTGAGGCACCCCCACACTATTCAGAGGAAACATTAAGAACAGTCCCACTTCGTCACACCCCCTCCCCCCACTACCAACAGTTACACATGGCCTCTGGGTCTAGGGAGTGGGTCAAGCAGATAACAGAGGTTGCCTGTGCAAGGACACCGAGCAGAGACCCCTGTATGATGCCCACTGCTCAGAGTCCCATGCTCCCCAGTGGAATTCTGTCTGGATGCAGGAACAACCAATGCAAGGAATTCAAGCAAAGAGAGCCTTGCAATGAATGAGCTTCCTCTTCCTAGCCTCTTACACAGCCAGCTTGGCCAAGGCCAGGAGGAGATTTACATGGATTGCTTGGGACACTGTGGAGTGAACAAAAGGAAAAAAGTGTGGGAGGCGTGCAGCCAGAACTTCAACAAGAGGTTCTGGAGGAGCTGAAGTAGGGGCTGCAACCTGCTATGCACCAAGGCCTTCTTCCTCTACAGAGAGGACAGGCCCCAGAACCTTCCAGTCTTGCCAACCTTGTGGAATGGCTGGACTGGAAACAAATTTCTTAGGCATTGTGACAGGGCTTGACTCAACACTGTGGCACCTCCTGCTGGCTGTCCTGGGGATTAGCTCTGTATGCCAGTGCAGTCTCCTCTGGTGATGTCTTGCCACCATCACTTCTGCTCCAGGGAAGCATGTTACTCCCACAACCGCAGCATCCTCTTCGTTACACAGCCCACCGGTTGTGCCACACTCCGTGTTCCCCCATTCTAGGGGACAGTATCGCCATCCCTCATTCCAGCCACTTCCTCAGCGGTAAGTGGGGGCGGGGGGACCTGGGCCCACTCACTACCCTGGTCCCAGCCACTCTAGATGGCCTCCACTTGCTGCATCCCCTCTGACTCTTCTGTAGATCTTTCTGGGCTACTTCCCCACAGGCCCAGCACTCCCCCTTGCTCTTGCCCTTACTTCAGGGCCTCAGCCTACAGATCCCTGCAGCCCGCCAGGAACTGCCTTTAGGTCCCTGGGTCTCTGCCTGCACCGCTGTTCGGTCCCAGGTGCTTACTGCCCTCTACCTACAAGGCAGCCAATCCTCATCCTTCTTCAAACTCCAGAGAGTGACTGAAGCTACTCTGTACTGCAGCTCTTCTTATATAGGCCTGCCCAGCCTTGATTGGCTCCTCCTATAAGCCCTTCTGTGATTGGCTGCCTCCCACCCAGCCTCCCTAGGGCTCTATTAACCCCTTATGAGCCAGTGTGGGTCAGATGCCTCATCACAGGCATCTACACAGCTGAGCAAACAGGTAGGAGACAGCCAAATACGTTCATCATCTATGACATGGGAAGTGAAATGCAGCATGTTTTTTAGCTCCTTCTCTTTCACCAACATTGACAACGAGAAGGATTAGGATGAAGTTCTCCAGGAAGACTACTACAGCATGAGTGGTCACAATAGTATAGTTCAAATTTCAAAATAGTTCTGTTACAATCCCATTTTTTCAGTCTTCCCTTCCCAGAGCTGTTGTCCTACCCTCCGTTTTACAGAGCAACTTCCATTCAAACAATGGTAAATTCACTGGCAGAACTGTATCTTCACATCCTGGAAACCCACTCTCTCTCACTGGCTGGTGTTACCAGCTTTGCCCGTTACTTTGGGGTATGCTAATTTATTAGGGTTACTCTTCTGGGGGGGGGGTGTGTTCTGTAATTCTATCTATGGACTGCTTGTGTCACTTGTGTTCTCCTACAGAGCTCTACTTCTCCCTGCCGCAAGTCCCCTCCCAATGGAGCTGTCCTGCAGGACCTAGTTCCCCAGGGCTGGGTTCTTCCAGCCCCAGAATCAGATGAACACACACACACACACACACACACACACACACACACACAATTGACAGAGCGCGTCTGAGAGGACCGGGTTAATCAGCACTCCCAAGCTGACCCCTTATATGTCCCTGGGCTCAGCAGGCTGGGTCAAGCAGTAGCTCCAAGCTGTCACCCTCATACGCCACGGGCACCGCATCGGAATAGAGCACTCCTGAGCAGGCTGGATCGAGCAGCACTTCCAAGCTGCCTCCCTCCTATGTCCCAGGTTCAGCACGTCCCTATCCCCACTTTCACATTACAATTGTTCTGGTAGTAACCCACTTGATGAGCAAACCCCACAGGAGTTTTGGGTGCTGCAGGGATCTGTTAGCTTAGGAATGAGGAGCGTTGCTGCAGAGCGAATAAGGAAACCAAAAAACACCCAAGGGGAGGCAGGGGGAAGACAGAGACAGAGAGAAGCAACCAGCATAATCATGAAAGTTATTTATTGCCAGGTAATAACCATAGGGGAGCCAAACAAACAAAAGAGTTATAATATTAAATCTAACTTAAATTTGATTATAAAAGTCAGGTTTAGAAAACTATAACTGATCACACAAGTCAGGGTCAGAAGGCTACACCTAGAGAGAGAGAGATGAATTCTCACCACTCTGTGAAGCTTGAATCAATCAGGGGTCCCAGGTGGTGGTGGTAGTTGAGGGTCCAGGGTGCAGGAGACAGTCAGAGCCCCCAGCACGATCAGTCAGGAGAAGATGAAGTACCAATAGAACTGATGTAGATTTTGGATCCAGGCATCAGAACACTTACTTGAGCGTGGGTAGGGGTTTTTGCAGAGAAACAATAATGGCTCAAGGGAGAACACTAGATTTGTTTATGGGTAAACTGATGGCTCAAGGGAGTAAACCAAAGTTGTTTTGTTCAGGCTAGACAATGGGAGCTGATCATTCCTGGCTATGGGCGGTGGTCCTTCGAGGGAGCTCACAATGCAATTAGGGAGCTTCACTATTTTGGATATCAATAAAGGATTTATTACTAGAATTGGTCTGATAACTACTGAGCTGGGTGTGTGCAGGCATGGGTTCATTAACATCTGGAGCAGAGATCCCCCACAATGCTGTGCTTCCCTGCTTTTCTGGTCCCAGAGTTCCGTGCGGTTCTTGCCTTGGAATCTCTGTTCTCCATTTTGTATGCTAATGGAGATGCTTCCTTGTCTCATCTTCGATGCAAATAAGGCTAGAGGAGTTTCCTTAATCCTGTCATCCTTATCCCAGGGGTTTAGGTGTGTCGCCCACTGCCTTTTCATTGCTTTTTGTAAGTCTTTCTTCTGATCCGTTTTGGTTCAAGCAGAGGCTGCGGGGGGTGGAGGTCTTTCGTGAGTCAGACAGGCTGGGTACTGCACCCTGGTTCCCCAAGAACACAGAGCAGATAGGTAACACTGGGTTTTGTAAAGGTTCAGTAGTTGAATAAACCAGCAAACGATTCATATTAGATCTTCCATGGCAAAAGCCATTCCACTAGACCTGGGGTACTAAACATATGACCCCCAGGCCAGATCAGGGCATTGTGATGTATTTAGGTGACTTATATGACATATTTAGATTGTGAAGAACCTAAGTTTTCATTTACAAATAAAAGTAAGTGTCTAGTCCTCCTGGCTGCACACAGAACCTTCCAAATGTGACCTGAGCGTAAAGTGACTGCATGTCTGCCTGGGTCTGCAGATAGTCTGAAACAATGACTCAAGAGTTTACCCCTTGATCACTTTGCAAGTCTCCCTCTT